AGGAAGGGCAGGGAGGGAGGGAAGGCAGGGAGGGCAGGGAGGGAGGGCAGGGAGGGAGGGCAGGGAGGGAGGGAAGGGAGGGCAGGCAGGAAAGGCAGGGAGGCAGACCTGTCGCCCCCAGGGCAGGAGAGCAGGAGAGGGGAGGGCGACTTCTCCAACCTGAGCCCTGGCAGGAGGATGGAGCCCTGCCACCACCTTACAGAGCCCACTCCTTTCAACTTGAATCTCAGAGGACACTGGTGGGCGTGTGCACCCAGGGGTCATCCGACTGGGAAATGGGGTGTTGGCCCTGTGACGAGTCCAGATGGTGTGCGCAGCTGGATGGAGTAGGTCGCGCCCCAAGTCCAGGCTGGTGTCCTGGTAGAGGAGAGGACCTGGGAGGGTCCACAGAAGGCCCTGGGACAAGGGGCCATTTCTGGTGTCACAAGCCTGGGGACACAGGACACAGCTTCTTCCTCAGAGGCTCTGGGGGCTCCTGATTAGCCGGCACCTTGATGTCAGACTCTGAGCATCCAGAACTGTGCCAACGGATTTCTGTTGTCTTCACTTAATGTCTGCTGTTCTGAATGCGGTCTTCTGCCGTGGCAGCCATTGGAAATGAACCCAGGGGCTAAGGCTCAGAGAAGGGCAGTGTCCTTCCTAAGGTCACACAGCATGGCAGAGCAGTTCAGAGGACAAGAGCCCCTCAGGCCACCAAGGGCATGGGAAGTTCTGGTGTAACTCAGAAGACACACTTGGGGGTGCATCCAGAGGAGTCTGGCCCGCTGCCACGCTCCCCAACATCCCAAATCTGTTTTCTCTGCCCTACCAAGAAGCCCGCAAAACCCAGAACTGAGCTGGCCACACATTTCATTCAAAATGAGTCCTGGAAGGACCTGGTCACAAGATAAGAATGAACCTTGGGTTTGGTCGCAAACGCGCATCACTGAGGTCCCCGATTATTAACCAAACGGTTTCCCTCTTCCCTCCCCATGCCTCGGAGTTGTTTTCCCATGGACTTCTCGACAGGAAGGTCCCTCCGCTCAGGAACTATCTGGGCTCAGGGCCACTGAGCCAGGACAAGGGCCGACCACGCGTGGGTCTCCTGACTCCTGTCACCGTCTGACTGCCCCCTCGTCCCCTTCCCCCGAAGCCAACAACGGGCCTCTCCTGCATCCACGCTGGCATGGTGGCCTGCGGGTCACTGAGGGTGACATCTGGGTTCTGATCCTCCCTCTCTCGTCCCAGACTGTGGCCCTGATGACATTAGCACACATGGCAAGGTGAGCCGTCCTTGCCCTGTGGGAGGAAGGTGGCAGACGTGCTCTGTGGACTCACTCCCGGAGACGGGCCCACCCACCCGTTAGCCAGGGGGTCACCTGCCCCGCAGCCCGGGCAGTGCCCGTGGAGCTGAGCTCGCAGGCTGATCTGCTCCCGAGTCGAGGTTCCTGGAGGTTCCGCTGCCAGAGAAGAGGGGGTGGTGCAGCTGGTGCGAGGCGCTGCTCCRAAGAGGTCGGCCCAGGAGCTCGGGGTCCCAGAGGCCTCGCTCCCCCACGGGACGGCCCGGACCTTGGTCTCCTGCTGCGGGTGGCTGCTGGACGCTTCTCTGGACAGCCAGAAGCTGGGAATGAGGATCCACCCGGCGTGGAAGACCAGGCAGCTCCTGGGGCCGGGCCACGTGGGGTCCTCCAAACACCCACACCAGAGCCGCCTTCCTGCAGGACCCCTCCTCTGTCACAGACAGGAAGTGGGTCTAGAAAAAAGGCTTTCATTATGGCTTCTAAGATAATGAGCCCTCAGAGTGAGAAGGAAGCACGCATCGTCACAGCCACGGGTGTGTGCACTCACGGGGACTGTCTTGTGCTTCACAGGCAGGACTGGTCGGGTCTTTAGGGGGAGTCTTCTACTTCCATTCCTTGTCACAGATCGGGCTGCTGCTCGTGAACAGTGGGAAGGTAGGCGACTTGGCCCTCCTCCCCGCTCTCTCCCCTGCACCCAGCAGTGCTCCCTGGCTCCCGGGGTGAAGGGCGAATGTGGCGCCTGTGTCGTTGGAAACTCTGAACCCTGTGGTGGATTCACTGAGTTGGGACGATGATTCCGCCTGTGCAAAATGAAGCTCAGACCCAGATTTAGTGGGTTAACCCCAGGTTTTGGCAGGCCGTGAAGGGGGTGCGCAGCCCTGGAGTTGGGGAGAGCCAGTCCCCAGGAGCTGCTGGTAGGGAGATGAAGGAATAAAGAGCCTTGTCCCATCAGAGGCTTCCCACAGGGAGCAGTGGTGAGGGGAGGTCTCAAGGTGGCCCATCCCAGAGAGGAGTCCACCTGGAAGCTTGGACCAGCCCCCAGCCCCGCCTCTGTCTCCTTTGGGGCCATCACACTGCGGTTAGGCCATGTTCCTGGTCCTCTCTTCCTTGCTCCGGGTCTGCGGGCTCCTGTGGTCGGGATGGGTGGAGGGGTCAGGAGATGGGGCTGGGGCTCAGTGGCAGAGCGCTTGCCTGGCATGTGTGAGGCACTGGGTTCGACTCTCAGTGCCACATATAAATAAATAAAATAAAGGTCCGTTGACAACTAAAAAATATTAAAGAAAAAAAAAGAGGTCAGAAGATGCTAGCCGGGCTGGGGCGTAGCTCAGTGGTCAGGTGCCCTGGGTTCAGTCCCCAGTACTGAAAACGAAACAAACAGAAAAGAGCAGGAAAGAAGGTGCCCGACCCGACGGCACACTCCTGAGATCCCAGTGACCTGGGAGGCTGAGGCAGGAGGATTGCAAGTTCAAGGCCAGCCTTAGCAACTTAGTGAGACCCTGACTCAAAATGAAGACTGTAAAGGGCTGGGGTGTGGCTCTGGGGTGGAGAGTCCCCAGGTCCAGCCCCCAGGACTGAAAACCAAAGAACTGTGGTGCCTTCAAGCCAGGCCGCAGGTGTCCACGGCTTTTCCAGGCAAGACCCCCTGGGGGAGTCGAGCCTCAGAGCCGCTGGGAGGCGCTGAGTCGAGGCCTCGGCCTCCTGGCTGCCCGTGCTCTCATGGGACTCGGTTCCTTTGTCTGAAGGCTCCTTCACGTGCCTGTGCCAGGTCCCCAGYGGGGCAGGAGGCAGAAGCTGGCTGACCCTCCGCTTCGCACCAGGGCTCTCCATTCCCAGCCCTCTACCCCTGCCCTTGGCCTCTGGGTCCTTCTTTGCAGTGCTCCCTACAGGGACATGACCCGGAGCCACTGGGCCAGTCCCCTTGGCTCCCGCCCGTGCACCTCTGTGGGGAAAGTGCCAGGGGTCAGTGCGACCCGTGTGGGTGGGCGCAGCGAGCGCAGGCTGAGTCTCGCCCTTTGGCTTGGTGCTTGGTGCTTCCCTGGCTCCTCTGACCAGCGTCTGGCAGTGCCAGCCACAGTCCCTCGCGGCACCGTGGGGGTGAGTGAGGGCTGCAGACCCCCTCTGTCCCTCAAGCACCCTGCAGGCCCTGGAACGCAGCACTTCTCCTGCCCAGGGCTGGTCTGTGTCCTCCAGCGGCTGGATGGGGGTGGCAGGCGGGGGGCGGGCAGACCAGAGCAGGGTCGGCAGTCCCCTGGGATCTCTGCACTGTGCGTCTCCTGGGGGATGGCGTCCGGGTCGGTGGGGCCACGCGGCAGGATGCTGTGTGTTTGCTGCTGGGGTGATGGGTGGTGGCGGTGCTGGGGATGTGCCCGGGCCTCATGCTGTGCGGGCGCTGCACCCGGGCCACCCCCTGCCCTTTCCACTTCCATGCTTGTCTGTTTTGGGGAGCCCCATCCCCAGGCCTTTTCATTTTTTAACTTGAGACAGGGTCTTGCTAAACCACTCAGGGCCTTGCTGAGTTGTGAGACTGGCCTCAAGCTTGCAGGCCTCCTGTCTCAGCCTCCAGAGTCACTGGGATGACAGGCGTGGTCAGGCTGACATTGTGCGATAGGGACTCTGACCCTGTCCTGGGAACTCTATGACGGGCAGATAGGAAGGGGCTTTGGAAACGGCACAGTGGAAGAGCCAGCCCCTCACAGGGATTTTAGGAATAGAAGCTAAGTTGCATGTGCCAGCGATTTGGAGGAGAGAGGGACCAGCTCGGGAAGCCGTCTGGATGCCAGTCCACGTGGCCCCAACGTGCAGCTTCTCGGGCTGCCCTGCCACGGCAGAGCCTGTGAGCAGGCCGAACACCGGGACAGCCTCGCCTGTAACAGCCCACCTCGCAGTGACCAGTCCAGTCCTCGAGGCCTCGATGTAGGCATTTGTCCCTTCCCAGGTGGCCTGGTTACCTCTAGAGGGCAGAGCGCAAGCCCAGCACAGCAGGGACCACAGGGCCCGTCCAGCAGGCAGGGGTTGGTTCCGGCCCTGGGGTGGTGGGCCTGGGCCAGGCCCCTCTCTGGGTGGGCGTCCTGGGTGCCCGGGTGTTGCACCGCACACAGGAGCCCCCCAGTCCCCACAGACCCCCAGACGTGGCCCGGTGTTGCTTGGGAGGAAGAATCTTCCGCGGTGGAGGTCCCGGGCCGAGACCTGCTGGCCTTCACGAGGAGGCCGAGGTTGGAGGGCAAGTTCCACTGACCACAGAGGGGGCGCGTGTGGCGGGGGCCAGGGCCTCCTGCGTGCTGCCGGGCACCGAGTGTGCAACCCGCGGCCTGCCCACACGTGGCTTCTGTCCCCGTGACGGGTCTCTCTAGGGCGTGTTCGTGTACTCGGAGCAGCCCCTCGACCGGAACCCGGGGCTGGCTTTCAGCTACGACGAGACCCTGGATGTCTTCCTCTGCCCCGGCCTGAGAGGCTTTCTGATCCTCTGGTCTGAGAAGACCCTCTTGGTTTCCCCCAACTCAGGTGAGCGGGCTGCGCTCTCGGCCTGCAGGATGCGGGACCGGACAGGGAGCAGAGCCAGGTCCCCTCGGCAGAGCCCGGTGGACGCGGCAGGTTCTTGCTCCACTGAAACCCACCCGTCCTCCCCAGTTCCCCGGCCGGCTCTGGAGGGCAGGTGGGCAGGTTCCGAAAGCCCCAGGCTCCGCAGGCACAGGGTCCCAATTTGACCAGGAAACCTCAGGTCTTCTCTTGGGGCCACAGTCAGTGATTCCGCGAGGTGGGCGGGCTATTGCCCGTGTTATAGCATCCAGGATGGACGGGACCTCCCCAGCAGAGGGACAGCGCCGTGGTTGTGGCTCAGCCCTCCACCACCAGGGATCTGCGGGCAGGGCCTCTGCAGCACTTGGGCTGGGGGCACACAGCCACATCCTAAGGCACAGAGCAGCTGGGGACGTGGGTGTGGCCCCCACCCTGCCAGTGGAAGAAAAGGGCTCAGGCTGGCCACCCATTTTGGAAGCCCACCCCAGGAAGAAGGCACTGCGTTGAGGTTTTGTTGGTGCTGGTGGGGAACCTGGGCCTCCGGCATGGTGGACACACACCCAGCTGAAAAGCTCTGTTTCGTCCCTGATTGACACTCTCTCTATTAAAAGGCCTGAGCTGAGGGCAGAGGCCACACCTGTCATTCCAACATCTCAGGAGGCTGAGGCAGGAGGATCAAGGTTCAAGGCCAGCCTCTGCAATTTAGCAAGGCCCTGCCTCAAAATATGAAGGGTGGGGGCCTAGAGCACCCGTGGGCTTGACCCCTGGAACTGCAGAGGAGTAAAACAGAAAAAGAGCAAGGTCACCACTGGAGGGCAGGAGGCTGGTGGCAGGGGTGGCCCTGGTCTCAGCGCTGAGCATGCTCACGGGTCCTCATGACTCTCCCCTGTCCCCTCGTAGGTCAGCTCTTCGAAACTGTCCAGGTGCACAACGGATCCCAGGTTCTGTCCACTTCCATCTCCAGACTCAACATCTCCATCCACAGCATCACTGCCAGTGCGTGCCTGCCCTACCGGTACCTTCTAGAAACCTCCATGCCCAGCCATTAGCCAGTGACCGGCCTGACGCAGCCCAGCCACAAAGCAGGCACACGGGGAAGACACAGCTTGTGCCTCAGCGAGGGCACGGGGCCAGCTGGGCACCACCCTGGGGCTGCCAGAACCAAGAGCCACAGACTGGGCGGCTCTGACCCCCGACGTCTGTGCCCCGCTCTGCCGCCCAGGGCCTGCCGGACGGCCCTCTGCAGCCTCCAGGCAGGCCTCCGCTCCCAGCTCCGGTAGCCTTGGCTGAGCCTGTACCTGCAGGTGGCCGTCCTCCCTCTGTCCCTGTCCGTCTCTGGATCCAGAGTTCCCCTTTTCACAAGGTCCCTGGTGATGTGGGACCAGGGCACCCCCACGACCTCCTTTTACCAAAGTCACCTCTGCAAAGACCCTGTTCCCAAATGCAGATGTTTCTCAGGTTGGATAGGGTCCAGCGAGCCGGCCCAAAGCCCGCCCACTGAAGCTGCGGCCACCGTGGCCCCAGAGGCTCCCTGTGCCCCGACCACCCCCCGGGAAAATGGGAGAGATCACGGGTGAGGCCATCGCGGGTCCAGGGCGTCTGCAAGGCCACACCCGGCTCCTGGGTCAGGACCCGAACGTCTGTCTCTGAAGACACAGAGCAAGGGCTGGGGTTGTGCTCAGGGGCAGAGGCTCGCCCAGCAAGCACGAGGCATGGGGTTCGATCCTCGGCCCCACGTAAATGTAGAATAAAGAGACTGTATCCACACACACACACACACACACACACACACACACACACATCTCAAGCAACTCGCCCCGACTCCAGCGCCCTTGGGCCTGCCGGCTGGGCCACTGCTGTGCTGGGGCAGTCCTGTGCTCCATCTTTGGAGGAACAGGTTCTGTCCAATAAGTGAGATTTTCCAGGATAATTTTCCCCTGAGACAGTTATTAGCTCAGAGACTCTGAGGCAATCAGTGAGAAAATTTGCAGGACCACTTGACTTTTTAAGAAAAGCCAGTGCTTCCCGTTTGCTAATTGTACATTGCATCCTATCCTCTGTGTCCATTTATCTGTTTAAAATTAATTTATAATTAGAGAAATTAGTTATATAAGAAATCCAGGGGGGGCTGAGGATGTGGCTCGAGCGGTAGCRCGCTCGCCTGGCATGCGTGCGGCCCGGGTTCCATCCTCAGCACCACATACAAACAGAGATGTTGTGTCCGCCAAGAACTAAAAAATAAATATTAAAATTCTCTCTCTCTCTCTCCATCTCTCACTCTCTCTAAAAAAAAAAAAAGAAGAAGAAGAAAAAAGAAAAAAAAGCAATCCCGGGCTGGGGTTGTGGCTCAGCGGTAGAGCACCCGCCTAGCATGTGTGAGGCCCTGGGTTCGATCCTCAGCACCACATAAAAATAAATAAATAAAATAAAGGTCTATCAACAACTAAAAACATATATTTGTTTTTAAAAAAAAACCCAACGGTACATGGTGCTTTTCTTTCTTTCTGTTTTTGTTTTTTTCCCCCAGGACTGGAAAAAGTGGAACCCCGGCTTCGCACATGCTGGACATAGAGCCCCACCAGCCCTGGTTGGCTGTTATTCAAGATAGGGTTTTGCAAGGTTGCCAAGGCTGGCCTCCAATGTGCCATCCTCCTGCCTTGGTCTCCCAAGGAGCTGGGATTACACCCACACCATCCAATTTCCTTCCCTTTTTTTTTTTTTTAAGAGAGAGAGAATTTTTAATATTTATTTTTAGTTTTCGGTGGACACAACATCTTTGTTGGTATGTGGTGCTGAGGATTGAACCCGGGCCGCACGCATGCCAGGCGAGCGCGCTACCGCTCGAGCCACATCCCCAGCCCCTCCTTCCTTTTTTTAATACTTATGTTTTAGGTGTAGATGGACACAACACAATGTCTTTATTTTTATGTGATGCCAAGGATGGAACCCAGGTCCCGCCCGTGCTAGGCGAGCGCTCTACCGCTGAGCCACAGTCCCAGCCCCCAATTGCCTTCCTTTTTAAGGCCAAATAATATTCCATTGTATGGCTGGACCACATTTCCTTCATCTTTTCGTCAATAGACTTTGGGTTGTTCCACGTCTTGGGTTTGTAAATCAGGCTGCAGCGGATGTGAAAGTAGGGAAATGCCAGTCGAAGCCTGAGGAGGGCTGCCTGTGGCTGGTGGAGAGCGCTTGCCTAGCCTGCAGGAGGCCTGGGTTCCATCCCCAGCACCGCAAAAAAACCAAAAAAACCACCCTGGTGAGACACAGCCCACACTCATTATTCCTTGGCTGTGATCAGGAAAAAGGACAGAAGGAAAAAGGCAGGAGCCCAGCTTGTGCCTGTTACCTAAAGCCACGTGTGGGCTCCAGAGGTGTCTGTGGGGTGACTGCCGTGGGTCACCGGGAGGGCGCTCGCTGCAGCACTCAGAGCAAGGCCACGAGGCCACCACCCGGGTCTGCCTGTCTGTCCTAGATGAGCACACGCTGGCCGTGCTGACCAAGGAGGACGCTCTGTACTTCGGGAGTCTGGAATTCCTGTCCAACTCCATCATCCAGGTGGGTGACAGCCCCTCCCCCTCCTCTGCCAGAGGCCAGCTCCTCGGGGCTATTAACATAGCAGCAGCGGGAGGCAAGACCCTGAGCACCTAAGGAGCAGCASAGCCGGCCCCCTGCGTCTGTGGGTGTGGGAGACGCTGGACGGACTTGGGTTTAAAGTCAGCCGATGCACGTTGATGCACACGTGCGTGTATGGAAAGACACGTGTGCAGGGGAGGTGTGTGCACCGCGGCTTGTTTATTTATATGTGTGCTTGCTGAGCTGCGTGCTCCGATGTGTGTATTCAGTGGGCGACAGGCCAGCGTCATTGGCTGTCCACCACCTCAGCCGTCCATTTTCCTTTGTGTCAGAAACACTCAAAATCCTCCTTACTGGCACTGTGTGTGTGTGCGTGTGCGTGCGTGTGCGTGTGCATGTGTGCGTGTGCGTGTGTGTGCGTGTGTGTGTGGTGCTGGGGTGGACCCAGGGCCTTGTGCCTGCTGGGCGAGCCCCCTGCCCACTGAGCCCCAGCCCCTCCCTGCTCGCACTTTTGAGCCCTCCTCCCACCCACCTGCACTCCTGGCCCCTGCCTAGGCTGTGTCCCCTGTCCCCTGTTCCCCTGGGAGGTCCCCTTCAGTCCCGGCTGTCACCTTGCCCAGAGTCCTCAGTGGGCCCTTTGGGGAAGTCACTTCTGCTGCCCCATCTGACAGGTGGAGAAGCGGGGTCCACGGCCCGGCCGGCCCGTCCACCAGGGCGGCAGAGGCGCTGGCCTGGGGCCTCCCAGTGCCTTGCCCGGCAGCCCTCCCCCACTGCCGTGTTTTCCGTGCTCCCCCCTGTCCCCCCCAGGCTTCCCGGAAGTTCCTGGTGGCGACTACAGTGAGTTAATTGGGTGAAGCACAAATGTGAGGACATTTCTTTGAGGTCCCCATGGTGGCATCCAGGGCTGTGGTGTCCTGGGGACAAATTCTGTAGMTGCCTTTGACTCTCCCGAGAGGCTGGTGCCCTGTGGCCAGGCGAGACTCCTGGCCACCTCCCACGAGGCCCCCCAGGCTGGGAGCCCCAGAGAGCAGCTCCCCGTGGGACCCAAGGCTTTGCCTTGGGGGGGCGTCTTTAGTTCCGAGCCACAGGATAAGCCGCGTCTCACCTCCGACCTGGCTCCCCTAGCTGGCCCAGGGCTCCGTCTGGTTCCCAGAGGCGGTGCTGATGTTCTCCGGGGTGGGGATGCTGGACATCCTGACGCCGCTCCCCGACGCCGCCTTCCCCACCTTGGACCTGCAGAAGTGCCGGCTCAACGTCCAGGCCGTGCTCACGGACCCCGGCCTCCAGGTGAAACAGTGCAAGGTGCACGTCCAGCGCCGAGCCGTGGGCCTGGGGAGGGGCCGGGCTCAGCCCAGCACTGGGAAAAGATCCAGAGCTGGAGGCCACGGCCAGCAGGCCCGGGAAGTCCCCGAGAGGGTTCCAGGAGGGACGGGAGCACACGTGGCGGGCGGGCTTCTGGTCAGCTGAGTCCGCCAGCCCTGCACCCCGAGTCTCCTCAGGAGCACCTCCGGGTCCCTGTCGCAGAAAGGAACAGATGTTCCTCTCATGTTTTCCTTTCATTCTTTATTTTTTATTTTTGCAGCGCTATCCCTATGTTAAGTTTTTTAAATTAATATATTTTTTTTAAAGAGAGAATTTTTTAATATTTATTTTTTAGTTTTAGGAGGACACAACATCTTTATTTTATTTGTATGTGGTGCTGAGGATCGAACCCAGCGCCCCGCACCTGCCAGGCGAGCGCCCTACCACTTGAGCCACATCACCAGCCCCCAAATTTAATATATATATTTTTTAATATTTATTTTTTAGTTATCGGTGGACACAACATCTTTGTTGGTATGTGGTGCTGAGGATCGAACCCGGGCCGCACGCATGCCAGGCGAGCGCCCTACCGCTTGAGCCACATCCCCAGCCCCAAATTTAATATTTTTGATAATATTTTTTGTGGGATCCAGGATTGAACCCAGGGGTGAGCTACACCCCGAGACCTTTTTGTTTTTATTTTAAGGCAGAGCCTCACTAAGTGCTGAGGCTGGCCTTGAAGTTGTGGTCCTCCTGCCTCAGCCTCCTACTTGCTGGCCCGCAGGCCGTGTCCTTCCCCCGCTCTCCTGCACCTGTTCCACTGGGTGAGCAGCTGGTCTCCTGACAAATGATCCTGGCTAAAAGCATGAAGCAGTCCTTCTGGCCACCCAGCGAGGGAACAGAGAGGCTCAGAGGACAACAGTGGTTTACGTTAGAGAGCAGGCGCCACACTGAGCGCTCACATCACCCACCACGTCCCACCAGCGCCAGCAAACCCATGTCCACTGGGTCGCCTGGATCCTGCCATCGAGTTTCCCAGAAACGCCGAGGGCAGAGGAACATGTTCAGCCATCCCAGAGAGCTCTAGGCTCACCCCAACAGCCAGGGTTCCCCAGAGATATGCAGAAAGGGAACTAAAGAAATAAAGGGAACCTGTTGGTGGCAGGCGTATTAGCTGGCTTTTCGTTACCATAATGARATACTAGAGGCAGGTTATGTTTTGGGAAAAAAAAAAAAAAACCTGTTTTTTTTTTTTGGCTTCTGGTTTGGAGGTTGGACTCCAAGTGTAGCTTGCATCAGATGGTGGCAGAGGTGTGTGGTCTCCATTTCTGTCCTGATAAAGCCACCAGGCCTCCCTCCGGTCATGGGGCTCCACCCTAATGACCTGTCCCATCTAGTCACTTCCCAGAGGCCCCACCTCTGTGCCTCGAGGGATCAGGCTTCCACCTCCTCAATACCATCGGCATTGAACTTTGGGGATTAAGCTCTGCCTGATTTCCGGGAGACAAATCATATTTGGATCATAGCAGACAGAGACCTCAAAGAGATGACCGTGTCCAGCAGAGCCAGGAGGCGCAGGAACGCACATCTAGGCAGTGGCGCGCTSGAGATGCACAGGAAGCACTGCTGGGGGGCGGGGAGGGTTCCCCGGGGCTGGCAGGGAGGACAGTGGCACAAGTGGAAGTCCAGGTGACCCGCCCAGCCAGACCTGGGCTCCATCCCCAGGGCCCCTGCGTCAATTACCACTCACCGCCCCTTCTTTTTGGAAGCAGGGGCTTGACCCTTTCATCCTGTCTTCCTGACCAGATAGAACTTCTGGAAAGCAGATTAGAATCCGAGATGTACACCATTGACATGAACAGCAAACTGAATTTGTCCTTCACACTGATACCCCGGCTGGGCATGTCCCCCATTCCACTGGTGAGTGAGTCTCTGATGCCCCTGACGGTCAGTGCTAGGACACTGCCTTGGCAGCGCCCAGGCTGTGCCCAGACTCTGGACGCCCCTGGCGTCCCCTGGGGAGAGAGGCCTCTTCGGGTGACTGTGAGACCTCTGCAGGTGACTCCACAGCCAGCCCTCTGTGCTGAGTTTGTGGCTGACCGGGCCCTTCCCCACCCTTCACGGAGCAGCCCCAGGCCAGGTGAGGTGCTGGGAAAGGCAGGAGGTTCCAGGACCGTGAGGGTGGGGACCGTGTGCCTGAGGTGGCGGGAAGGCAGTGGGCCGCCTGCAGGACCCCGCTTAGCTCTGTGCGGGCTCTGGCTGGATCCAGGCATCCTGCAGTTGGGGATCTTCAGAAGTCAGCCAGGTCTGAGCAGTGAGGGGAGTGCCACGCTTTGCTTTCAGGTGTCCTCTGTGACCTAGGGAGGACTAGCCGGGGATGGACCTCTGCCTCAGGGAGTGAAATCGGGGTGTTAGGACATGGGGGGGGCTGTGGAAGCTTGTGGAAGTCAAGCTTACTTCAAAGAGTTTGTTCAGCTTCGCTGCCCCCCGGCCACCAGTCCAGTGGTCAAGGTGGTCTCCTGGCCTTAGTCTGTGAAGGACGCCGCCCCTCCCCAGAGTTTTTCTTTTTTTCTTTTGGAGACAAGGTCTCACTAAGTCGCGCAGGCTGGCCTCAAGCTTGTGATCCTCCTGCCTCAGCCTCCCGAGGAAGCTGGGATGACAGAGGTGGCCCCAAACCAGGCGAGGCTGCCTCTTTGAGATGGCATGCGCATGACCCCTGCAAACCCAGGCCTGGGACCGGGGCTGCCTCTGCTCTCCCCAGGGGTCCCTCCCCCCACCTCCTCTACGGGAAAGGCCTGGGTCGCCCAGCTGCTGCCACCTGCAGAGTGGCACTGAGGTCCAGAGAGGGTGGGTGGACGAGGGCACGCGGCGGGGCGTGGGACCAGCAGCCGCAGTTCAGGGCGAGGCTGGTCTTCTCCGGAGGAGGACGGGTCCCCTGCACTTGCCCTGCTTGGGCTGCTAGCTCCAACAGCCGCCCCCCACCATCTCGCTCCCCAGGTGATGGTGAGCAACCCCTACTCCCTGGGGCTGCAGGCCACCATCTACGAGGAGGCTGACAACACCTTCGACGGCAACATCGTGTACAAACTGGTAAGTCCCAGCAGTCAGGCTGGGGGACCTCAGGCCTTCATGGAGGGGACCCTCCCTCCTGCTTCCCTTGCTTGCACATATAGAGGGTGAAGCATCGGGGAATTGGGGGGATGCACCCCTGCCCCTTGTTGGCAGGGGACAGGCAGCGGTCACCCACACTTGACCTCATCACTCACATGGGAGCCTGGCAGGACAGCCTGGCAGCCCAGGCAGGGCGCGAGCCCTGGGCAAGGTGAGCCAACTGAGGTATCAGGATTGGGCCACACCAGGGAGGGACTCAGCCCAGCAGTCTGGGACCCGTTGTGCGTGTGCACCCATCAGGCCTCGCAGTCACCCCTGCAGTGTGCACTGGACCCAGCGCCAGGGAAGCACAGGGCAGTTTGCACGGGGCCTGCCGGTGTGACTGGCTGCAGGGAAGTCTGGTCCAGCCTGCCCCCTCACACCTAGGTGACTGGGACGTGGCTGCTCCAGGGACAGACACCGCCAGGGAGTGGGTGCCCTCAGCTGGGGCAGCACCCTGGAGCTTCCAGGAGCCGGGCCCCCAAGGGCAGCCTGGCCAGGGGGCTGCGGGGCTCTGGGCTCCTCCCAGAACCCTCTCCTCAGCTCTCCTCATTCTGATGGGGGACATCCGGGAGCCCTGCTCCAGGTGGGGCCTTTTCCTTGGTTCCTAGGACATTGACCTCAAGCAGCAGCACCACTGGGGCAGGGCCTCCCCCAACTTCACCTCCAGGTATGTGGCCGTCTGGACAGAGGAGGGGCTCCTGCTGGCTGCAGGGTTCCCTGGGAGAGAGACAAGGCTGAGCTGGACCCCAGCTCAGGACACCGGGTTGAGAACAATTGAAAACGCTTTGCAAAGTAAACAGAATTGGCACACGCGGGGGCCGCCGTCCCGCTGAGGGTTCTCCCCAAAGAACGGAAAGCAGCGTCTCAAAGGGACGCGTGTGGCCAGCATGGGCAGCGGCAGCTCCCCGAGCCCCGGTCCGCGCTCAGAAAGAGGGAAACCCGGAGCGCAGCAGTGGTGCTTGGTGACATGAGCGGGGCACAGAGGGCATGCAGCGGAGTCCACTCCCGGGTCCACCCCGGGCAGTGTGGGGAGCAGGCCGGGGGGGCGGGGCCGCGGCCCAGGCACTGAGTGGGGCGAGGGTGGGGACGGGGGTGGCCGCGTCCCCGAGCTGCGCCCGCAGACGCGGCTGGTGTGTCCAGCCTTGAGCTACGTGGATTCTACCCCCGTGAAAAAAGAAGGGCCGGGGGCGGGGCCGACCTGGGGGAGGCGGGGCCGAGCCGTGGGGGCGGGGTCGAGCTGGCGGGGCGGGGCCGAGCTGGCGGGGGCGGGGCCGAGCAACCGAGAGGAGGGGTCGAATAAAGGACCCTGGGAATTCCTGAGCTGCAGGGCGCGTGGGGAGCCTCAGGGATGCCAGTTGTAGAGGTTCACAAATTCATTCATCCATTGAACACTTACGTCTCAGGAAATGTGCGCCCCAGGCACTTCTACCCTTAGGGGACCTGAATGACAGGGAGACAAGGCATAGTTACGCGGGAGCCCGAGGAGTAATAAGAAAGAGTCGCGAGCGGGAGCCCGTACCCTGGAGCTCATCGGGTGGAAGGGAAGGGTATAAAGATGCAGATGCGGCGGCTGTTCAGACGGATTTGACAGGAACACCCCGCAGTCCGGATTGAGGGTCCGACAGGGGGCGCAGAAGCTGGTGGCAGAGCCGCAGAGTCAGCGGTGACACGCTGACGTCAGGGGTGGTTTTAACAAGTGACGGCCCTGCCGGGTGTCTGCGGCCATGGTGGACTGCCCAGGGCTGGGCGACTGCAAAGAGCAGACGACTTCTCCTGGTTCTGGAGGCCAGGGTGCTGGTGTCTGGTGATGACCTTCTCACTGTGTCACCCCACGGTGGGAGGTGGCAGGCTGGAGAGCCCGAGCCCCAGCCAGTGACGGGGCAGGCTCACTGTGGTTCCCGTCCCTGTGCGAGCGGACCCCCCTTCCCCGGAAGCAGCCACTCATCCTGCTGAGCTAATGGCTTCTCCTCGGCCCCCACCTGGCGAAAGTGTTGTCTTGGGGACTAGGTTTCCAACACGTGAGCGTTGGGGGCACATTCAATCCACAGCAGCTAGGCGACCACCAACAAAACGGACACAGGAAGAGGTGGAAACTTGAGAAAAATTTGGCCTCCACCTGAGCAGAGGTTCTCAGCACTTAGAGATGGGTGGATGGGTGGGTGGATGGTGGGTGGGTAGATGGATAGGTAGGTGGGTGGGTGGATGGTGGGTGGGTGAGTGGGTGGATGGATGGTGGGTAGATGGTGGAGAGATGGTGGGTGGATGGGTGGGTGGTGGTGGGTGGGTGAGTGAGTTGATGGATTAGGTGGATGGGTGGAT